AATATTGTATTAGAAAAAAAATTGTCTGAAACAAATTTGTTCCAGATAGCTGTACTGTCAGACAAGCTTCATAGAATACTTATTTAAATGCATAATGAAATATGGGCCATAGACATTCTTTATCTGCTTGCTCTTTTCTATTTGGATGGTCAGGCCAAATTCCTTTGAACAATTACGGACCTCTTATAGGAGGTTCTGCAATTTTCTATAGCTTGATGCAATCAACAAGACATCACCAGCTACTGGGAATCCCTCTTTGACCTGGATTCCACTTTGTCCTCAGACTTAGTGATGAATATCTTTGGTGAGCATAATATACTTGTTTAGCATCACCTGACGTTTCTTATTAGAGGGAGATTGAATAGGGCTGCTTTTCATATGAAAATGAATCTTAAATGACTTTGATGTATGGATAGGGGACTTATTGTAAAAGGTGAAGAAAGAAGGAATTTGTAGCTAAATGGAATCCTGGGTCACAGGTATTTCTTGGAGAAGCAAAGAAATGAATTGTCGGAGTGGGTTTCGTTATATACTCAGAGGCAGCAAGAGACATCATTTCCTGAGATGTTTGGTTATCACATGATATACTAATGACAAATGTATGTGAAAAGACCACCATGAAAATAATTACAGCTCTTAAACTATCATCAGTTGATAAGGATTGAGTAGTAGGGAAGTTTTTTTAAGAACTTTATAAAACCCTACAAATAAAATCGACATGTGGTCTTAGTGATACTTGGTGACTTCAATAAAAAATATGGGAAAAATTAAGGATGAGGAGAAATATATGGGAAAGCATGGTTTAGGAATAAGGAAGGAGAGAGGCCACAGGACCTTTAAATAACACAGAAGCCTCACACCTCTATATCTGGAACACTATTTTAAAGAAGAACTGGTAGGTGCTAGACATAGAAAACATCAAATAGCATTGCAAAGAGTGAACAAGATTATGTTTTAATGTACAGGAGAAAACTTAATATTGATTTGAAAATTATTCCTGAGTTAGCTGTCTGTGTACACTCAGGCCATCAACTTTTTAGAGCAAAGATCAGAATGAATAAAAACCAACAAGAAAGAAGAGTAATGAATAATTGTGATAGATAATTTCATTAAAGATAATAGCAACAGGAAGACAACATAGCAAAATTTGGGACTGCCAAAGTAGTCCTTAGGGAAAAATTTATGTCTCTAAACATTTTTGTTAACAAAAAAGAAAAATAAATCAGTGAATTGAGAATGCAACTAAAAATTCTAGAAAACCAACATTAAGCAACCTCAATTAAACACCAACATAGAAATCTTAGAAATAAAATAAGAGATGAATACAGTTTTAAAAAATTGAATTAATAAACAAAGCCAGAGGCTGTTATTTTTGGTGGAAAAAACAAACAAACCCAACCACTCAATAAAATAGATGTCATTAGCTAGTTTGATCAAAAAGAAGAAAGAGGCAAAATTATTAACATAAAAATATTGCTAGAAACTATTTATGACAATAAAACTGACAAATAAAATAAATAAATATTTATAAAAATATAGTATATACAGATTAACAGGATAAGCAACAAAGAATTTAAACAATCTGATTTCTGAGGAAGAAATTGAACTTCCAGAGAAAATGAATTCCGGGCTGGACAGATTTACAAGTGAATTCTATCAAACATTCAAAGGCAATTCATTCCAATAGTATATAAACTGCTTATAAAAAGAGCAAAAGAAGAGATCCTACTAAATTCCTTCTGTGATGCAGATACGGTCTTGATGTGTAATCCACAGAGAGTCAAAATAGAAAAGAAAATTATAAACCAATATCCCAAATGAACATTAGTGTAAAATTTTAAAATCACTTATTAGCCAAGATGCTAAAACAAAATGTTATGAAGATTAAATACTATGATCTGGTTGGATATATAAGGAATTCAGTGCTGGTTTAATATTAGGAAAATCATAAACTTAACTCTATTAATATTAACAAAATTATATGATTATATTAATAGATGCAGGAAACAAAGCATTTGACAAAATACAATACAAATTTCTATTAAAACATTAGAAAACATAGGAATACATGAGTCTTAAAATATATTAAAATGTAATATACATAATAAAATATAAAAGTAAAATCCATTAAAAACCTAGAGCTATCATTTTATGTAACAGATAAATTAGAATCCTTTTCAGTAAAATCAGGGATGAAACAAGGGAATATCCATTGTTACCACTTCTATTTGACATAGTACTAATTCAAACTATAGCAATAAAAAAAGAAAAAAAATTTGAGAAAATAAACATAGATTAAGAAGGAACAAAATTGTCACTTTTTGCAGATGATATGATTGTGTACTTAAAGTACCCTAAAAGAGTCAACTGAAAATTAATTGAAGCAATAACTTTGGTAAACATGCAGGATAGAAAATAAATCCTATTATTCAAATCATTAACATTTCTATATAATACCAATAAATCCCAGCAGGAAGAGTTAGAAAAAGTAATTCCAATTAAAATGACTACAGAATATATCTTTCTACCAAGATACACATAAGAACCATATACATGAAATTACAAACTACTGTTTACAGAAATACAGATCTAAATAATAAGAAAATATTAATGGATCTTGGGGAGGATGAGTCAACATAATAAAATGACAAACCTACCTAAATTAATTTACTAATTCAATGTAATACCGAAGGATTAATTTGTGGAACTAGAAAAAATAATAGTGACATTCATATGGATGCAAAAAAGATCAAGAATTTCAAAGGAAACAATGAAATAACATGAGAATGAAAGGGGCCTAGCAGGGCCAGATCTCAAACTATACTACAAAATGGAGTCATCAAACTATCTGGTACTGAATAAGAAATAGAGTGGTTGATCAATGGACTAGATTAGATATAGAACATAGATTAAATGACCACACTAACCTAGTTTTTGATAAACCCAAAGATCCCAACTACTGGGGCAAGAACTTATCATTTGACAAAAAACTGCTAGGAGAACTGAAAAGCAGTCTGGCAGAAGCTGGTTATAGTCCAATATCTCACACAATACACCAAGGTGACCTTGAAATGGGTACATATTTTAAACATAAAGAGCAATATCATAAGCAAATTAGGGGAGCACTGAAAGAATTATCTGACAGATCTATGGATAAGGGAAGGATTCATAAGTACAAGAGGCCGCGTGAGGTAAAATAGATAATTTTGATTACATTAAATTAAATAGGCTTTGCACAAACAAAACTGATGCAGCTGAAACTAGAATGAAATCAGGAAACTGGGGAAAAAACTTTTTATAGCTAGTTTCTCCGATAAAGGTCTAATTTCTCAAATACATGGAGAACTGAGCCAAATGTATGAAAATAAGAGCCATTTCCCAATTGACAAATAGGTAAAGGAAATGAACAGGCAGTTTTCAGAAGAAGAAATCAAAAGTAACAGTAGTTGTATAAAATGCTCTAAATCACTAATAATTAGAGAAATGTAAATTAAAACAACTCTGGAGTACCACTTGACACCTATCAGATTGGATAAGATGACAGAAAAGAAAAATGGCAGATATTGGAAAGGATGTGGAAAATAGGTACACTAATGCACTGTTAGTGGAGTTGTGAACTGTTCCAACTATTCTGAAGAACAATTTGGAACCATGTCTAAAGCAGTAATTCTCAAAGTAATTTGGTACTATAAAAAATAAAGAGATTGATAAGTGAACAGATTAGGTATACAACATACAGAAGCAAATGTATCTAAAACCCTAATATTTGATAAATACGAAGACCTTATCTACTGAGATAAGGACTCTCATCACTGGACAAAAACTGCTGGGAAAATCAGACAGTAGTATGGAAGAAATTAGTGTTAGACTGATACCTTACATCTTGTACTAGTGTAAGGTCTAAATGGAAATTTGGCCTAGATATAAAAGGTATCACAATATATTTATTGGAGAACAACAAATTAGAGAAGCATGGAAAAAACTGTGTGTATCAGACCTATACCCACTCACTCCCAAGGATATAGGGATGCACACATGTGCACATAGGTCCATTGATGAGGGAGTGTGGCCCATATTTATGGGCAGATTTTTATATTTGGATCATTCCTTACCTTCTAATGAATAAATGTTATGATTATCCTTGCTTTATCATTATATGGTAAATGTTTCATTTTTTAAGAGGAATATGTTGTATACCAACTACTTTTAACCTTACTAGGTATTTCTCCCTATTCTTTTAAGTAAATGAATAACTGTAGTTTTTACTGAAAATAATTTTTAGGGATGGGGACGAAGACATGTGTTTCTCCAGGAATTTTATCAGCTGCTGAAAGCTAATGAGGGGTACAAATTAAAATACATTACTTTCTGAAATTAAAGGGAAGATTACTGTGGTACTGCTCTCATTTTTCATGAGTTTATGTAGTTGTAAAATGAAGTAACATCTAAGCATATTACAAATAATTTTAAAGAAACAATAACAATAATAATATTTTTTTTGTCCATCTCTTTGAATTCCACAAATGGAGAAGCACTGGGTCCCTGAAACAATGATCTTCCTTACCTTCCTCCATACACACTTTGTAGTATGGGCCTAAGTGTTGAGTCATTCCCATTGAGGTAACTGGTCTTGCATTGCTCAATTCACCCTTGAGTGATGGTAAGGAAGATGAGACATAATTTGACAGAATTAGTACTAGCTGAAAAAAGCAACTGGCTTTTCTAGAGTTGCCTCCTCTCCCCAACAATGATGTGCCTACCTTCTGATGTATATAATAATAGAAACCACTCAGAGAACAAAACAAGATTTAACTTTTTATCTGGTATCTGGGTTCTTTTTGCACTAATTTTCTGCATCTTTTAATGAATAAGAAAATAAAATGGGGCATTCTCATCATGTTAATGTTATTGATTCTTTTCCATACTTTGTGCTATTAACACTAAGAAAACTTTAGTGCAATGATATCTATTCAAACTTTGTTGTCTCTTTTTTTTTCCAGTGAGAAGTTGGATGGAAAAACTAAAAGACAAGGTACAAAACATTATTTTCTTCTTTTGGATACATCATAGTCTGTGGAACTTTCTAATAAAAGTCCCCCAGAATGGCGTGGCTTTAATTCCTTATCTTGGTTGTGACTGACTAGTTTTCGCAGGTCAAGGGTTAAGAGAGAAAACATTTTCTATCAATTGTTTCTTGTCAAACACTTGGGATGTTTCAAAGCTCAGCTCATACACCACTGTACGTGAAATCTTTCTTGAACTCTCCAATCAAGAGCTCTCCTTTCCAAAATTATCTTGTGTTTATGCATTCACTTTGTATACTCATAGATCTACGTCTTCTTTCTTCTCATAGAATGTTAGCAACTCGAGGAAAGGGAGTGATTCATTCTTGTTTTTATGTCTCCAGTCCTTAGCAAAGAACCTGGCACATAATGAATGTTTAACAAATGTTTGTTGATGGGTTGATTAACTTTGCTATTAGTAGTATTATTCATCCACAGAAAGGCAAAATCCTATATCATTAAGTGAATAAATATCTCTAATAGACGGATATGGTATCTGTTCTAGGGAATTCTTAAAACAGAGTCTTATTAGGATGGGGCATCAAAAGAGGGCCTGTATGGGGAACGTGAACTTTGGAAAGACAGAAGAATACAGATCTAAGTCCCTGGTCCTGAAGAAGAGGTGAATTAATGGATTCCACTCAAAAGTGGAGATTTGAAAGAAGGAGAATAACCTTTGAAATCCTGAGTGAGACACTACATGAATATAAACATTGATACTGAGAGACTCAAATGAGATAATTGATGTAAAGCACTTTGCAAACATTAAGGTGCTAGATAAATGCCAGTTACTATTATTACTATCAGCTAACAGCCACTAGGTGTCTTCATTCCCATAGCTTCTACTGCTAAGTTCAAACAATGTTTGTAGAGCAATATAAGGATGTGCTGGTAAATGTGTAATACTGGACTCTCCAAAAAAGAAAAAAGAAGTGTGCACAGACTTTAAAATTTAATCTGCATTATTTATACTTTCTTAAATCTAGATATTCAACAAAATAACAAATCAAACCTTCATTGTTAGTAATTGACTGATTGAAAATTTAAAAGTGGGTCCTCCTGAGCTGCACGCCCCTGGATACAATTGATTCTCCCATTGGAATAAAAGTCTTACTTAACACAGCTGACCTACAAAAAATGTTTTCCTTTCTTACATTATGTCTAACACCCATGTTAAAATGCTCAGAGATAAATCACTTTCCTTCCAGGTTCAAGATTTTTATTCTTCCTTATTTATTCCCTCTCTCTTCAAGTTTATCATGTTTAATTATTTCCTAATTTCAAACTGTAATTACTCATATCTATAGAGTCTTGAATTAATTGCTGTAGCTTGTGTCAGATTTCATTATTTTACGGCAGTCCATATTTAACTGGGATTTTAGTTACAAGAAAAATCTTTTTTCCTTTATAATATTAGAGGATTTGCCTCAGATTCCCGTAGCTCATGAGGCAATTCTGATGATAGCTTTTCATGCTGTAGGGTCAAGTATTTTCATGGCAGAATGATCTGTTCAAAAAATACACATGCACATGTATACAGATTCTCCTGTGCTTCTATCCCCCTTCAAACCAAGAACTAGCATCCAGTTTTAGTAAATTATCTTTATTCTGTTCAGAGTTTGTAAATCTATGCTGCTGGAATTAGAATATATTATTCTCTTAAATATTAAAACCAGTACTGAACCATTTTAATCATGTATTTTGAGATATCAACAAAACATATAGTATTAGTAGAGCATGATAAAGAAGCTCAAAAGTTTAGAACATGATGTATTAGCAACAGTCTTTTCTGCTATTTTATCCTAAAACAAAATATTTCAGCTACACTATGTATTAAATGTGAAGCTATATGCTATAGTGAATAGGTCAACCTTGGAGTTATGAAGAATTGGGGAAACTAAGGATCCTGATAAACCGCTATCCCCTGAGAACTTTGGAATTCCAGAACTGATAGCTTGGCATTGTCCATAGAGAATAAATTATTTAAGAATTTTATTAGTGGAAGAGGGAATCATCATCTACTTGTAGAAATAAAGATAGAAAAATAACATTAATTTAAGGGAAATAGAAGTAAGATACATGTATAGGCATTTCCTCTGACCCTTGGTGGAAAAAGAGAAAGACTACTACTTTAATCAGTTCAAAACTTCTTTTGGCAGGAAATTATGACTTGCCAGCCTATCCACGTAGCAAGACAAAGAAGATTCAGGCATTGGAAAAGGCATGTTAGAAAACTTATCAGGTTATAGGACTCTTATAAAGAAGATACTAGACTAGCAAATTGCTTAATAGAAATATTGATGTTTACCTTAAGTAGAACTTTTGCCCAAAGCAGCAGAATTTTTCTTGATTCACGTACTTTCATGGAGACAGGGAGGTGTTAGTGGTCATTTTTCTTGATCAACCACACTTCACTGGGTCTATTAAGCAATTTGGGATAATCATAGTAGTGTAGTAAAACTTTTCATCAGAGACTTTTCCATCTCTCTCTTCAAAGTGCTCACTAATGTCAAGAGTTATTTTTGCTTCTTCTGGGCATTAGGAAATCCATCAAAAGATCACAGACACCATCACTACAGCTCTGTCTTTAAAGAATACATCTGACTCTGAAGGATTGGGTGGATCAGATTGCTATTAGGGAGGAATGTATATCTAAGGAAATGGTAATCATAGATTGGCAAAAAGGCCCTCAAAAAGTCTAAAAGGCTAGTTACTAGAGAAATCATCTCAATCTTCATTTCTTTCTCATTCTTGCCTTTAATGTTATTATGAAGTTGAATGAAGCTAGTTGCTCCATCCCAGTCTTTGGTCTCGACGTAAGTTTTAACACACTTGGCTGGTTCGTACTCCTGGGTCTCTTAACTGCCCGTCTTCCAGACTGCCCTCCTCTGAATCTTTCCATTTGTGTATCTCAGGGGCACCAGCCTTTCCAGTGGCTTTCCTTGGAACTAGATCAGGCATCTCCGATGTGGCTCATGGTCTGAGTTGCTTTTCAGAAGTGAAAATGGGGGGCAGCTAGGTGGCGCAGTGGATAGAGCACTGGCCCTGGATTCAGGAGGACCTGAGTTCAAATCCGGCCTCAGACACATCACACTTACTAGCTGTGTGACCCTGGGCAAGTCACTGAACCCCATTGCCTAACCCCCCCAAAAAAGTGAAAATGAATAAGGACTAAGGAAGAAAGAACCAAGACTATACAAATTCAAAACAAAAACGACAGTTTCTTAAGCAGTTCAATAGAGTTTAGGTTTTGAAGTGTCCTTAGAATTTTTTCTTTTCAAATAAAGTTTTTCCTTTTTCTTTCCAGTTCAAATGAGATGGCACATGTAAAGTGCTTTGCAAACCACAAATTGTTACATAAATGCTATTATTATTCTTGCAACTTGCTCATAGGTAACTGTTTCCTTCCTGCACAGATTAAAACCCAATAGTGATATACTGTGTAGCTCCAAAAGGACAGAGGGGCGCGGCACAATATATAACATTAACAAAATACATTAAATAAAAGAAAAAAAATCACCGGCAATACTAAAACAATGGTTTTTTTGGTTTGTTTTTGCTTAGGCTTGATAAGCACCTAGGTAGTGTAGTTGATAGGACATTGGACCCAGAGTCAGGAAGATCTGAGTTCAAATCTGGCCCAAGATACTTACTAGGTGCATGACCCACTTAACTTTACTGCTTCAGTTTCCTTATCTATACAATGAGGATAATGATAGCACCTACCTTCAAAGATTGCTGTAAGGATAAAATGAAAATAATACTTATGTTTTGCAAAACTTAAAGTGCTCATATAGATGCCAGCTATGTTATATTTTGTGATTTCTGAAACCCAAGAGAAGTGGCATTAGATATGCTTTTTAAATGTTAAAAAAAGAAAAAATTATATTGAATAATTTGTACGCTGCCCCATGCTAATAAAGAATGCATATTCTTCCCCTTTCTCTATTATTTCATTAAAAATGACATAAAATATGAACTTTTGTGAGTTCCTGTTTGATTTAAATCCTTGGGAACAAAAATAATTTAAACATGTAAAGTAGATATTCCATGAGAGCAACATATTCTGGAGCATTCATTTTCTTGATCAGAATTTTATCGCTTTAAGACTTTTGGAAATCTGTCCAGGAGGGGAAAAGTTGTCCTTTCAGTATGTGGATTTGTAAAACCTTGGACGTTAGTTCTAAAGTGTAGATTATTTCACAATGCATATTTATTTCCATGTTAGAGTCTCATTAATATATTGTTTCCGTAACTTTTTCATTTACTACTGTCTTTCTCCTCATTTACAAAAAACCAAACCAAACCAAACCAAAACCAAACTAAAAGAAAAAACCTCTTAACCAGAGATGGAAAAACTCTCATTAAGTTCAGAGTTTATTCAAGCCTTTTATACTGAAATCACTGGATTTCTTTTTCCTTAGGGGAAAATATATAGTAAGTAGAGAATTCTTTCATTCTTTAATGGAAGGCAAAATTCTTGTCCTCAACCCTAACTCAAGAAAATGGAATAATGACATGCATAAGAGAAATACATTGCAGATTTGGAATATATTGCCCTTTCCTAACATTTTAGTTTGCAGCAGGGAACCTACAAAGATGGGAAAGGATTATGGCTGGAATCTTTTGACATTTCTTTGTTAACGTATTTTCCCCCCCATTTTATTTTCAGAACTTCCCTAGTGATTAATTAGAAATTTTAAGAGGAGCCAGGAAAAGGCCAAACAATAAAATGGACTTGCTTTACTTTGTCTAATGATAGTTTTCCCCAAATTAGCTCCCTTTCCCAAATGCCCTCTGTTTCATTGCATATTCTTGTCTTTGTGAAGAAGTTTGGTTGGGAGGGGAAACAATGTTTTTTGGGGGATATGCGAATGGCTCTAGGTGTCCCCCCTCCGAAAAATAAAACCTCTTGCTATGGTATCCTGATTTCAGACACAAGTACACTTGGGAAAATAAGGAAGAGTGCCTAAAGTGTTTTCAGGGACCCCAGCTGTTACCATTCCCAGGTCTTACGCATTAAGATCTTTAACACCTTGCTCTCCAGGCACACATACAACTCCAGGGAATCCAGGGACACCCAGTGATAGTGATCCAGTTAAACACTACCATTGAACACTTTTACCTGGCTTTCTTACTCTCCCTTCATGCCTGTTCTGCAGCATAATGGCTGGTTTGGAAATACCAGCCAGGAATCACATTAGTTCTGCTTTAATAAGCAGAACAGGCAGCTTCAGAGGAGTAGAGAAGAGCTTGTCTTTGTCAGAGTCAGTCAGTCAGTCAGTAAGCACTTATTAAGTACCTAGGACATGCTAGGCACTGTGCTAAGCACTTTCAGAGTTATTAGTAACAACCACTTTTGGAGTTATTAGTAACAACCACTGCCTTTCTGCCCCATTTCTTAATCAATTGCCTTGCCTTCCTTATTATGGTCATAGTCCCCAGATAAGGTTTTTGGGAGTAGCTTGAGTCTAATTCTTGGGATTAGGTATATTGGGTTACTTGCCTGATTATTGAGAAATCTTGAGGTTGTATTGCCAAGTTGATATTTTGATGTACATGATATAGTGAACCTAATACTTCTAGGTTACCCAAGAAGGAGTGAAAAGGCTAATATTAATTCAATTATTCAGTCAATTAGCTAGCATTTATTGACTGCCCATTATGTACTAGGCACTGAACATACAAATGCGCACACACAAACGTCCAGTGGAAAAAGCCTGATATGGAGGAAAGAACAAGAGCTGGATTTGAATTTAGAGAATCTGGTTTCAAGTCTGGACTGTTATTTACTATATTCATAATTTTGGGTGAATGACTTTAATCTTCTGACCAAAGATTCCTCATCTCTAAAAAGAGGAAGTTGAACTAGATGTCCCTTGAAGGTCCTTTCCAGCTCCAAGCCTATGATTATGACCTTTTGAAACATTCCTTCCTTTGAAGGATCTTGTAAGGAAGAGGGTTGCTGTGCTGATTCATATCTCCCTTCTTCACAGTGCTGTCCACTTATTTCCCTTGAGTTAACTTCTGGACAACTGCTTTGTTTCACCCGTGAGCCTAAGGACCAGGCCACTAATTTCACTGGGACACTCTTTTCCCATCTCTATGTTTCCTTCCATTCTTCAACTCAAATTTTCTCCTTTTGCTGGAAATTATCTTTCCTATGGTTTTCAGAGCCTTCCTCTCTTTTATTAATTTTCAAGTCCCTTCCCTTTCCTGAGATTTAAAGAACATGAACACCAAGGTCTGGGCCCTCATTTAACCTCAGAGACTGAACATGTTAGAGAGTACTCCAAGCATATCAGAGTTTGACCCCAGCAGAGATTTTAAATTTCTATTCTTTTAATAGTAGTAACATTTTTGGAAACCTTCATCCATCTTTAATACAAATTATATTTCTGTCACCCCAAACTAATGTTGACAAATGCGCTTATCCAAGTGGTTGGGGGTGTCATTCAATAGGAATGATTTATTTCAGCACATTCTTCCAGCTTTTTGAAGGATCCAAAAATAGTGAAGCCTTTCCCTCAGGACTTAAACACCTTTCTCCCTGACTTTGTACCAATTGCACTATATTCCATAAGATGGCAAATGGAATTCAAACCCTACAAAAATACGTTACATCCCAGCAGTAGTGAGAAACCTAGAGTGGTGGTCTGTTTAGTATTCCAATGCTTGTCTCCTTTTTATGCAGGCAGGATACATGTCGGGAATGTTGGTGCCTGTGGGGGTTGGGATAGCTGGAGCCCTATTCATCCTGGGAGCACTGTACAGTATCAAGATTATGAATCGCCGAAGGCGAAATGGATTCAAAAGGCATAAAAGGAAGGTATGGAAATGATAAAGAAGTGTACTCAGTTTCCACATACTGTTTGGTGGTCCAGTTTACTCCATAAAGGAAATGTGCCTAATGAAGCAAAGATACTATTTTAATGCACCAGGGCTTTGGACTAGCCATTGCTATTTGTTCTTTGTTTTACTTTGAAATTGGTTTTAGAAGTTTTCCTTTTTGGCACGAAGGATTTAATATTTTTCCTTTTTCTTTCTCCAGCAGAGAGAATTTAACAGTATGCAAGATCGAGTGATGCTCCTAGCTGACAGTTCTGAAGATGAATTTTGAATTCAACGACAGTTCTATTGTGATAGCTAATGATATTATTATTTCATTTTTACTTTTGGGCAAAAAAAGACATCCTGCTGCATTACTGCTATCAGGCTCTCTAGCCCTCTGTCCACTGGATAGTGAGTTTTCTTCTCAACGGGCAAAACAGGCATGCTGTGTACTAAATGTAACATGTGACGATGTTTGTTTTTATGCAGTTGTGAATTTCCCCTTCCATACACTGTGTCTCATAAATATGCAGTGTGCCTATTATACAGTAGGAATGGATAGGATAAAATTTTGGTTTTTTATCAGTGTCTTTTTCTTGTTTTAGATTAACTGCACAAATCCCAACTATTATTGTAACTGAGGCGTGCTGAATTTTGGAATAGAAATCTTAATAAGCAATCACTTGTGATGATCTCTATCCATCTTCTTACCTTGAAGTAATCAAATGCCATCAAATGTAGCTGTAATTTGGAATGAATCAAATCTTTTTCATTGAGGAGATTTGTCAGTACAGCATGATTACGTATGAAATTATGGAGATGTTGCATTATGTGCCTCAGGCTTCCTGTTCTGTTCTTTCATGCTCCTTTTAGTTCATTTTTTTTTTTTTGGCAAGTAGAATCATGGAGGAACAATAATAGAGCAAATTGATTCACTGTCTAAATGTACTGAATGTTTTCTTTAGCAGCACAATATATTTTAACAAACATATCAACAGTCTTAGATGTTCTTCATGAAAATCCACCAGCTTATTTGAGGACATAATTTGTTTTTGTCAGATAACAAGAGAAAAAAGAGGGTATGATCTTTGCCCTAGAGTTTTGAGTTACAATTTGATTATATATATGGGTGAAAGTTGAACTGAATTGCTGAAAGTTTTGCTTTTTCATTTTTGTACCTCTTTATTGTCAAAGAAGTAAGTTATTGTGGTGGTAGGTGTCAAGTTAGGCTTCATTAAAAAAAAAAGACAATCAGAGTTGGTTCTACGGCCAGATCCATAATGTGTCTCTTTTGGAACATCACTTGTATTTCTTGACCTGCCTTGGAGCATCATTCCCTGGTCTTGACTTTTGTAATTGGAAATCTGGGACTTATGACTGATGGAAGCTGAGTTGCAGGGTAGAGAAGTAATAATAATATACCTAGAGCTTTGTGCTTTTCAAAGTGCTTTCACACCTATGATCATACTTAATCTTCAAAACCATTCTGGGCAAATATTATTATCACTGTTTCACAGAAGAGAAACCTGAGGCAGAGAGAAATGAAATGACTTACTCAAGGACGTAGAGTGAATCCGTGGCAGTGCCAATACAAGAACTTTGATATATTGACTTTCCAGGCCTGTATCTTCTAATTGCACCAGGGAGAAGGTAGTGACCTTTCTGGGCCATCCTCTAAAAAATTAGGGTTCTATTGCATCAGTTTCTATAAAGTTGATCTCACTTTATAGTTCTTTAAAATGAAAATTTCCTTTTCCACTCTTTCCCTCTGTTTCTTTACCTGTCACTTCCACAAATTATTTTTTCTCCTTTCATCTTCTTTCCATCATGTCAAGCCTACATATCATCTCTGGGAAATCAGAAGGACATTTTCTTCTTAAATCCATTCTTTAGTTATAGCTGACTCAGGTGTTAGACACTCAGGTGAATTTCTTGCTAAACACTGATGATATAAACTATTATTCTAGACATTTTCAATTATTTTTGCCCAGAGAAATGAGTAGATGCGTAGCATTAGATGGAGAGAGTTGAATACTAAGGAATGGTATAGATAAGACTATAAGCAAACATTAGGTACTGATTAGGGAAGTGGTAAAATCAAAAGTCAGATTTAATAGAAGCCTTGAATAGACATCAAGATCTCTTTGAGAGCCATTACCTGCTATAGGTGATTGTTTTAAATATTTGTGTATGGAGACAACTTTTTTTTCCTGTTACAGGGAACTAAGTCAGGGTTTAAGCCGTTTTCATGATATATTTCTCAGATCCCAGAGTACTCATGTAGTCATACGTTTCTTATAAGGGTTAGGGGCAACAATATATATATATTTTCACAAATTAAGTAAAGATCTCAATATCATTTGCTCTGATACTAACAATCATTAGTGCCATTGCCTATTATTAAAAACTGATGCCTTAACTAGACCATGATTAATAAACTAAACTTATAAATAGCAGTACCTACAGAGCACTAAGAAGAATTTAAACCTCTTCTGAGAGGTAATTTCCTTCTTCCTTATCAGTTTCTAGACGATGGAATGTGGATGATCTCTAAACTTAAACTTATGCAAAAAATCAGATCTATAGGCAGGAGCTGGTGACCGTTTAAATGCCAGAAGACAAAAAGAAAAAAATAGACATGTTTTTCAGGTGTCAACCTTCATGCCATTGGCTATTCAAATAATAGGAGATTTATAATCTTTTGGTTCTTAGGACATCCATATGCTGTGGATGACCTAGTCCGTAGCATAACTAATGTATCCATTTGAGTCACTTTCACCAATGGCAGAAGGTTTGTCCATAAAACCGTTGTTCTACATTGGTTAGTTACATGATCAGAAAGAAAGGTCCGGCTGTATCTTATGTAGTAAATTGATTTTGTGAATGTTAATACAGGTATACTTTGACTAACAGCTAATTTGTGAAAATACATTAAAAATTAAAACAAGTTCCAAGGGGAAATCAGTCCCATAAGAACAAATTACAAATAAAATGAGAGGCATCCTGAAGTTCTGAGGGCTTAAAAATGCTAGGGTTCAAGAGGTAGTGCACACTATTGCCAACCATTCATTTTGCATCTTGAATAAACAGATGAATGAAAACTGCTTACCTACTATGTGCCAGGCACTGTGCTAAGTGCTGGGGATATAAATAGAAAAGTGAGACAGTCCACGCTCTCTCAGAGCTCACAGTATAGTTGGGAGAGACAACGTATATGAGAGAGTTTAGCTGAAGGGAGGATGGAAAGGCCCTGAAGTCCTAAGGGTGCAGCTGTGGGTATTATGGCAAGGCCCAGAGTTCCTTAGGGAACCCTGGATCAGCAGGTCAGATGGCAGTGCCTAGGGGTCTTAAGGATGGAGTGGTACACAGATGGTAAGGCATCATGGTTCTCCATCTTACTAGAAGCAGAGTAGTTGGTGACTCTCGATTCATCCAAAGGGTGTGACCCTTGGGCTGCTCATGTATTAAGGGGATAAGGGAGGGAAAGGAAATGTCAATAACATTACAATAAATTTTTGTGGCATGAGAGTGAGATCGGACTATAGCATATAAATGTTATTGAGAAATGACATCAGGATCATTTTATACCATCACTATATACCTTAAGAGAACAAAACTCAAAATTTCCAATAGCCAAGTTGCCATTCACTGGCAACAGGAAAATTTAGTGTGGCCTTCAGAAGTGAACTAGGACTGGGCCCACTTTAATGATTCTTACTCTGAATCACTACTGGCATTGGTACTTTGCATGGTACTAGGAACTGGACTTCTTAGTCATATGGAAGAGTGGTAGAAGCTAGTTAGCTTTGACTTTGTAGATAAATTAGCAACAATGATGATGGTGGAGCTGGTTGATGGAGTCAGGACTGAGTTTGTAGTTGATTTTTATTGCTTACCTGTAGAAATTTTGGGCTAATAAAAACTATGTAGAGGTCCAGCACTTGGGAAATGGGTGAAAATTAAAGTCCTTCATTGGGTATGGTAAAGTAGTCTGTAATAAACTTTAGAATTTAAGATTTACCTGTCATAACCCAGGCATTTGGAATTTTAGTGAATGAAAATGGATGAAGGAAAAAAAATATCAGAATCCAAAACAAAGGAGAAGACTTGTATGAGAAAAGAATATGCTGCATTCTTTGTGAGAATCAGTACTACCAGTTCTCAGTTCATGGTTACATTGTTTTTCATCCTATTTTTTCATGGCACAAAATTTCCCCTTCCAGATAGGTATGTGAAGAGAAAAGATAGACATGTTTTCCAAGTGTCAAGCTTAGTGGCCTAGGGATAAATGGAAATCAGGTAAAGATATTGGGGAATGAGGGTAGAGGTAGATGGGGAGAATATGGGAGATACAAGTATGGGAATTTGATGATAAAATATTTAGCTGCTATTTTGGTTCCATTTTCTCTATCAAGGAAAATGATCTCCAAATTGGAAAGGGGAAAACAAATGTTAAGACAATTTGAAGTCCAACATAGCTGAGGACTTATTTGTTTTGCTTGAGTCCAAATCTCCAGGCCAAGATGACTTACATTTCAGGGGATTGAAAGAATTTGCAGATATGATTACCGAATCATTGTCATCCTCTTTGAGAATTCATTAAGAATGGTATAGGCGCCAGAAGAGTGGAGATGGGAAAATATCTCAATTTGCAGAAGGGGGAAGAAGGTAGGTTTAGAAGACCAGTGAGCTTAATGTTGATTCCTGAAAAAGAAAAGTAGCTTTATTAAACAGATATAATTAAAAAAATAATTAAAAAGAAAAAGGTGATTAACAGGAGCCATCAAGGGTTCATGAAAAATAATTCCTGTCAAATGGACATTTTCTTTTTTGAAAGAGTTATTAGACTAGCAAATCAGAGGAATGTTGAAATATAAATAGATCTGTATTTCAGCAATCAGTGGACAAATCAATCACCAAGCATTTATTGAGCACCAGACTTTATATGCCAGGCTTTGTGTTAAGCATTGGGGATACAAAGACAAAAGTGAATCAATCCTTGCCCTCAAAGAGTTTACCTCTGACTAGGGGAAGCCACATGTACATTAGCAGCTCATGGGATTAGGAAAAGTTTCATGTGGTACTTGGGACGTTAAGAAAGTCGTTCTGGTGGCATTTAAACTACCTTGAAGGAAACCAGGGGTTTCAAGAGGTTGAGGAGAGGGAGTACATTCTAAGCAAGAGATACATCAAGCACAAGAGATAGACCAATAAGGCTGGTTTGCAGAGTGTGTGTGGACTAGGAAGATAGGAAGGGTTGTGAAGAAGTTTAAATCTTCAGTCCTAGAGGCAAAAGGAAACCCCTGGAGTTTACTGAGAAAGTAGTAGAGTGATTAAAAAAATCAGTGGCACTAGTGTAGGATAGAGGGAAGACTTGGCTTAACAGCAGTTCATGGTAAAAGGTCTAGGAGTTGCTCACTATGAACTTCTGAAAAAGCTAGTGCCATCCTGGGCTGTATTAACACAAGACCGCCCAGAGGATCAAAAGAGGTAATAGTCCCACTATACTCTGTACTAAGTATAACACCTCTGAAGAGTGATGTTCAGCTCTTTGTAGCATACTTTAAGAGAGACACTGACAAACAAGAAGACATATAGCATAGGGGGTCTGGAAACCATATTAAATGAGGGATGTGTAAAGGAACTAGGTCCATTTAATCCAGAGAAGAAGAGACTTAGAGGGGACCTGATGAAGATGGACTAGACTTTTTTGTTTGGTCTCAGAGGACAGAAGTGGGAACAATGAATGGTAGTGGCAAAGAGGCAGATTCTAGCCAATATAAGGAGAAACTTTTTGACAACTAATTCAACGGACTATCCCAAAACAGAATAGGTTGCTTCAGGATGCAAAGAGTCAGCTAGGAGACACAGTGGATAGAGTGCTTGGACTTGGAGTCAGGAAAATTTGAGTTTGAATCCTGCTCTATTTATCTATGTGACCCTGGACTAATCACTTAACTCCTCTCAGCCTCAGTTTTTTCATATGTAAAG